AATTGAGCAGATGAGTTGGATGAACAAAAATAAACTGGATAAAATTGGGTTTGCTTTGGTTTAGGACCTATTTAGCAAACAAAGAATAAATACAACATTTATTAACACAGTCTCAACAAAATAAAACAGAACTGAAATAGAACTGAAATAGAGATTGGGTTTGTGATAATAAATGAGAAGACTTGGATATCCCTGGGAGCGTGGCTCCTTTTAAGTGCAAATCATTCTGGTTGCAGGTACCAAATTCCATAATCAATGTACATAATCAGAGGATTTGTGTTCCCAGGAGCTCAGCCCTGCCTGGGAATATGCACAAACTTTGTTAATATACATATTTTTTCCCCAAAGTACCAAAATAAACTAGTTTTCATCAGGGGAAGGTATAAAGAACTTACTCTCGGAAGTGGGAAAACTCTCATGGTGAAAAGTGGTTGTAGAAGTTTTCGAAGACTCAAATGTAGAAAATGATCCCCTGGAGAGGGAACCTCACTTCTCCCATCTCCTGCAGATTCATTTTGCTTTTCCACTTGGAATGCAGAGTATTGCTGGACATCTAAAGGCTTTGCAGGCCACAGCCCAATCCCATAAGTACACTCCTGTGTTGCAAAAATAGATCTAAATGCAGAGAAAAGCCTTTTTTGACGTTTAGAAACTTTTCAACAACATTGGTGCCTTCCAACCCCAACCACTTCATGATTCAATAAGGTTTATTCCCAGAGCAGTCATAATTCCCTCACACTTTAGAAAAGGGCTCTGCCAAAACATTCAACTAAAATAATCCCAGGATGTGTCAAAATCATTCAGGAAGTGACTCCTCACTGAGCACTGCCAGACTCCTGTCTTTAGCAGAGCATAACCAGCATATCCCACATTTCATAGCTTTTTGCACCTGAGTCTGATGCCTTTCCCACAGAATGTTCACCTGAGATTGGGCTGTAAAATCAAAACCATCCCTTTTATTTCAGCCTGATGAGGATTTTCATCTCCTGGATTCCTCTCAAGGAAATAGTCTGATGTAAAACAATTGTTAAAATACTTATAGCACTTTATAGTTTTTCATTTTGTTGTCCTGTTTTGCAGCCATTTTTGAATAATTGCAACAGGCTCAGGAAAAATGATATTCCCTCTGACAATAAAACATCTTTCCTCTCTTGTCCAACCTGTTGAGTTCTGGCTGGTTTTGTTGCTTTTTAAGCTAACAGCTTCCTTGACTTTAATTCCTTGAAGCTTATCACATTCTAATCCCTTGGAAATCAGTATGGTCATCCCACAAGGTACCTCAGTCATCAGTCAGGCTTCAAGGCAGATGGAAAAGCAACCAGATTGTTTGGTCTCCATGAAAGATGGAAAGCTGTTCTTAAAATCTGCTTCTGGTAATGGGCAATCAAAATTTCCCATCAGTCTTTTTTTTTTTTTTTTTTTTTTTTTTAATTAGCCATGAAAAATATCCCTAACGATTGTCCTGGGTGTTGTTTCCAGTGGCTTGTGCACAAAGGACAGAAGGGCAAGCCCTGGGCTGGCCCTGCTGAGGGACCTCGAGGGCTGTGTCCAGTTCTGGGCCCTCCTGGCCAGAGAGCCCTGGAGGAGCTGGAGCGTGTCCAGGGAAGGGAACAGAGCTGGGGAAGGGGCTAGAGCCCCAGGAGAGGCTGAGGGAGCTGGGAAAGGGGCTCAGCCTGGAGAAAAGGAGGCTCAGGGGGAACCTTCTGGCTCTGCACAACTCCCTGACAGGAGGGGACAGCCAGGGGGGTCGGGCTCTGCTGCCAGGGAACAGGGACAGGACAAGGGGAAACGGCCTCAAGCTGTGCCAGGGGAGGCTTAGGTTGGAGAGCAGGAGGAATTTCTGCATGGAAAGGGTGCTCAGGCCTTGTGAGGGGCTGCCCAGGGAGGTTTGGAGTGCCCATCCCTGGAGGTGTCCAAGGAAGGGCTGGACGTGGCACTCAGTGCTCTGGGCTGGGGACAAGGTGGGCATCGGGCACAGCTTGGACTCCATGGGCTGGGAGGGCTTTTCCAGCCTCAGGGATCCTGGGATTCTGTGATTGATTTTTTTTTGCAAAAAAACCCCTGCAAAGCAGATTTTTTGTAAACTCGTATCAGTGAGTTACAAATATCACTGGACTGGTTTGCTTTAGTGCTGACATTAATTTATGGAAAAACTGGTGATGCAGACACATCAGATTTATCATTAGGAGGTTCCCTCCCTGGCATTTTAGGCAGGACGTAAGGAAAATCTTACAGATATCTAAGGGGGATAGGGAAAGGCCTTGGAAATATCAGAGACTTCATAAACTAGAAAAATAAAACTTTAAGGATGGCTATTAAAAGGCTGATTTGCAAACTGCTGTCTCTCAGAGAGAGTACGGGTGCCTCATGAATATCTGAGGAAAATCCAGCCCGTTTTTAAGAGGAAGAGAATCCCTGGATCAAACCAAATCTAACAAAAGTGCTTTGTGAAACCAAGCAGAGAGTGGAGCAGAGCAGTGTCCAATGAGATGTAGAATCAAAGCACTGAGATCAGTGAGATGATGATGGTTAGCTACATGAAATCATCATAGATTATAAGTTGCTTAGATATTTTTATAAGTGGATTTGGATTACCAACCCTTCTTTGCATCATCATTGAGGCATGCTAACGAGGGCAGTGCACGAACTGGTGGATTTTATAGATTTGACAGGACTTGTTGAGAAGATATTAACATTTGGCAGTGTCACAGGGTTGGAAATGAGCTGGGTTTTCCTGGTGAAATCCTCTTTATATTAAAACCAGTGCTTGTCTCCCAAAAGATGCGAGGCCAAGCTGCTGGAGCAGAATAGAACTGTACAGATATTATTGAACAGGAAATTGTGCCAAGAGCCATAAAACACCTGGGTAAAAACAATGTTTCTCATGAAGCTAAAAAGTTGTTTCTTGTTGAACTTGAAACCAGTCTTTGGTGCAGTTTGGGAGTTCTACCCCCAAATATTTGGCAGTTTTCTTCCTGTCATCTCTATTGTGTCAGAAAAAAATCAGTTTCAAAATAGATGATTGAAAAGACCTTACTGTGGTGTTTTCCCCCATGGGACTGCAAACCAGTTTTCTGGGGTGAGCATCAGTGATCATTTTACTGTTTTAGCAAAAAAGCATCAGCCCCTCTTGGGGCCACTCCTCTTGGATGAATATTCTTATACAGTCGCTCTTATAAAGTGAAGGTGTAATGAAACTTCATGCTACACTTTAGAATAAATTATTTAATAACAGGAGGTTACATGATAAATACTTTAACCTAATTTAAATGTTTTGCAGCTACTGATATTCACAGATTTTCTTCGTAACTGCTGGTGAACTTCCAAAAGATAATTCCTTTTAATATTTTGTTGCGAAGCAAACTGGGGAGTGTTAATTTTGCAGAAGAATAAAATTTCAGAGGAGTGGTTATAAATGCTGTGCATGCAAATCCGAGGCACTGGAGGGCAACACTCAGGGTAGTTTGTAATGCTTGACATTTGGGAAGTGCGTTGGGAGTGTTTTCCACAGGAAATAGTGTACACTGTGGGGGCATTGAGCTGACTGCTAAAAGGGAGGCTTGACTAGCAGGATGGGACGAGGCGGTTGTTGTAACTCAATGGTTTTTCCCTAAACCCCCCTTTAAGGTTTGTCTTACGGTGTGGTCCCTTCCCTTCCCCTTTTCCCTCTGAGCTCTCCTGGTTGGCCAGAAGCCAACCCCTCACCCCTGGCCGAGGCTGGAATACTTGCGCGTTTCCTGTATTCGCTCTCTTACTCTCCTGGAGCGCCTCCAGGATAAACCTTGGAATATATCCCGAGAAGAAGAGCCTCTTTTGATCTTTTACTGCGTTCTTGCAGTAATCCAAGGCCCTTCCCCTGAAACTGAGCTAAACCTGGGAGCAGAAGGAGGTCCAGGATTTTCTGCAGGCAGTCACTCATGAGACCCCACCTGGAATTCCGTGCACTGTTCTGCATAGGAGGGACATGGAAGTCTTGGAGCAGGTCCAGAGGAGGCCATGAAGATGCTGAGGGGACTGAAGCACCTCCTCTATGGAGCCAGGCTGGGAGAGCTGGGGCTGCTCAGCCTGGAGAAGAGAAGGTTGTGTGGAGAGCTCACAGCTCCTTCCAGAGTCTGAAGGGATACTGGGAAACTGGAGAGGGACAAATCATCAGGAACTGGAGTGCCAGAACAATGGGGACTCTGTTCGGACTGACAGAAGGAAAATTTTGGTTACATATATGGAGGGAATTCTCTGCTGTGGGGGTGGTGGCACCCTGGCACAGGGTGCCCAGAGAATCTGGGACTGCCCCTGGATCCCTGGAATTGTCCAAGGCTAGGTGGAGGGGGCTTTAAGCAACCTGTGATAGTGGAAGGTGTTTCTGACCTTGACAGAGGGTGGAATTTTGGTACTTTAGGATTTCTTCCAACCTAAACCATTCTGGGATCCTGTGATTCCATGAAAAAACCCATGTTGAGAGCTGGCTGCTCCTCTCAGTACCACCTTTGTGGCTGTGTCTTCACATCCTTGTTCTGCAATTCAGTTTGTGTTGCAGAGCAGCTCCAGGTACAAACCCTTTTTTTTCCTGAAGAGCTTTATGTAACTGTGCTTTTTTTCTCCCCATCATCACCTTGATGTGTTGCTCTCGCTGTAGAAAATTTATTCCAAGTTTGGTTGTTATTTCCGTGCTTTCATTTGTTCGAGGTGAGATTGGGAGTAGATTGCTCAATGAAGAAAAAGCTCATCTTGTTAAGTAGATAGCTGGATGTGACGGGTTTCATTGTCAATTTAAATCATTGTGCATTGCAAGTACTTCTTCTGGCATTGTCTGATACAGCTGCAGTGTCAGAGGCAGTTTTTCATTACAGATAATAAGGTTCAGACTCTTTAAACATCACTCAAAACATAAAACACCACAAAGCCGAGGTAGAAAACAGCATTTTCAGTGTCACAGGGCTTGCAAAAATACATGAGTGTGGATTTCCTATAAATTCCTCCCTGGCTGTTCAATGTCATTGCAGGCACTATCCTGGTTGACAACATGCTGATCAAAGGGACAGCAGGAGGGCCTGACCCCACCATCGAGCTCTCCCTGAAGGACAACGTGGATTACTGGGTGATCCTGGACCCCATCAAGCAGACCTTGTACCTGAACAGCACTGGCCGTGTGCTGGACAGAGATGTAAGTTTGGGGTTGGTTTTCTCCACAAACATTAATTTCTAATTAACCATACACACAAGTGCAGCTAGAATATAATTCCTGCATCTGTCTTGTCCTCAGATGGATGTGAACAGAGTTAATCTGATCCTTTTTTTAGGATTTATTGGGAGCATACAGGAACTTGACCGTATCTGCAAATATTATTGTGGACAGACATAACAACAAAGACCAAAAAAACCTGATGTTAGGGTTTTATATCCAACAAAGCTTGACTCATTTGTTGAATTAAACTTTGATTCTGGTTTGCTGACTAGAAGACGTGCTGCTCACCCTGTGCCCTGTGACATTTATTAGCAGCCTGCTTTCCCTGTGTACACTAAATTATGAGCTGTGAGAGGTGAAGGAGTCGTGACTGCCACAATTCACTTGCAAAGCTTGACATGTTCCATTGAGAACGTGCTGGTTCAGATTCTTTTTTTAAGGCAGCCTAAATATATTTGCTGTGCTCGTTCCTGATGGTGTTAAGGAGCTATTGTCAGGATAAGTTTGATTTTTACAAAAAGAAAGATGAAAAGCACAAAATAAATAGGAGTGTTCTCATCTAGGCTAATTTCATTGAGGAGAAAACACTCCAAAAATGGAGACATCTCCTCACAGTGTTGCAACCTTGTGACAGAACCTGAAAGTAAAATTGACTTCCAAGTGCTTTAATCAATATGGCAAAGATGCTGTAAAATTCAGGACTTCTCCTTGGAGTGCAGGGAAGTTTATTTTGTATTAGCTTGATTGATTAATTTGTCTTCTCCATGTGTTTTGAGATAAATTCATAAGTACCAAAAACAACATGCAAATTTCTCCTCATTTCCATTTGCTGGTGAAAGACACTAATTGAATACAGCTGTTTTTAATTTTGTTTTAATTCACAAACTGTTTTCCCATGCAAAGCACAAAGCGTGGCAGAGTGGTCATGGTGGCAGAAGACTTTCTGGGAAAGAGTTGGCACTTCCTCAAGTGCCAACCAGCAGCTGCAGAAGCAGCTTTGGCCTCTCAGTTTTAATTTTATACCAGAGCAAAAAATGAGAGAAAGGCTGGAGAACCACTCTAAGAAATGTGGGGTCCATTCTTACCACCCCACACCCATCCATAAGGAGTAAGGAACCAAAATCCCCGTTGGATCAGTGCTAATTCTTCTTTTCAAGGCCATTTATTGACACTTTTTTGTCACCTTAATGTGAATCAAAGTCGATGCTTTACCCAAAGAGCCTCATCAGATTATTTGAGTTTCAATATTAGTCACAGTCTAAACCAATTCCCATTATTGTGAGTTCCCAGACACTTTACAGGGATGTTCTTTGCCAGAAGTAGACTCAACTCCCCAGGAAACAAGTGAAGTGTGTACATTTCTTAATTAAATACAAGTAATACTGTGTTTACATTGGTGTTTAAGGTATTGATTCCTCATTTTTTTCAATGAACTGGAACACTTCTTACCTCTAATACTGTGTCCAGTCATCTGTGGCTTAAATTTGGTGGGCTATGAAAAGAAAAATCTGGGCTTTAAGGTGGTTTAGATTTTGGATGTGATGCCCCCTGTGCCTCTCTTGAATGGCCTCAGGAAATTGCTGTCACTCGTAACCACAAGAAAAGGAGAGCAACCCTCAAAACCCCCAGAGACTGAGTAAAATTATGAAGTGTGTGTCATGGGTGTTATTAATATGGCACTTTTGGGGATATGGGTTAGTGCTGGGTTAACAGCTGGCCTCTGTGGTCTTGGAAGTCTTTTCTAAGCTTATGGATTCTCCTAAAGGATATTTCCAGCCTTCAGAACCAGGGCTGTGCTACCCCAACACCACAGAACCATTCAGTGTGGGAGGGTCTCTTTTTAGTAACAAAAACCTCAGCATATTTTTCTCATCTTTCTACTTAAATCAGCCTAAAATTTTGCAGCACCAATGAAACTGGGAGTTTTATTAAGTTGAACTTTTGGGTTCAGGTTTTTATTAAAGAGAAAAAATTAAAGTCTCTGATTCACAAATGGTCGCGTTCCATCTATTTGGATACTCTTCCCATTTTTCTCTCTGCTGATTCAGTCTGCCTGATTCTATCCTATTTTTTTTTTATTTCTTGCCTTCCTTGACAGCAAATCTTCCTAGATTCCACTGATTGCTACTAAGAATGATGGTGTGTTTTCTAAATAAAATCAGATAAAAAGAAAATTCCACACTTTTCTCCTAAAACTTTAACTACTTAGGAAGTGATAAATCAGAACTGAAGGTGCAGGGTGCTGCTGGAAAGTGCTGGGATGATTTGTCCCTGGTTTCATAATCAATTTGTGGCATTGTGCCATTGTTTATTTACATATTTTTGTACATTTTCAGAATATCAAATATTTATCAAGTATCTGCCATTTCAAATAATTATATTTTTCTTGGGCTTGGCTAATTAATCCAGATATACTTAGTAGTCACTGCAGCTTATTAAAGGCAGCCTAAAAAATCTTGGATCTTACTCAAATGAGTAGTAAAAGCCACCCCAGCCTAAATTTCTTTTCATTGTCTAATCATCAGTTTGGGAATTTTAGAGCATTGCTGTGTTCACTGCAGTGAGAAAAACAGGATTGTCCACACTGAAAGTTGTTTCTGAATTATTTTCAAATAAGTGGTAGCAAATGTGATTTATTTCAGACTTGACCTTTCAATTCAAGACAAGAAAGAAACAAGAATGACATTGGGGTGTGTCCAGAGGAGAGCACAGAGATGCTCGGAGGACTGGAGCCCCTCTGCTCTGGAGCCAGGCTGGGAGAGCTGGAGGCTTCACCTCTAAAAGAGAAGGCTCCAGGGAGACCTCAGAGCCCCTTCCAGTGCCTAAAGGAGCTCGAGTAGAGCTGGAGAGGGACTTGGGACAAGGGATGGAGGCATAGGACACAGGGAATGGTTTCCCACTGCCAGAGGGCAGGGATAGATTGGGAAAGAATTGTTCCCTGTGAGGATGGGCAGCTCCTGGCACAGGGTCCCCAGAGCACCTGTGTCTGTCCCTGGATCCCTGGAACTTCCAAGACTGGGTTAGATGGGACTTGGAGCAGCCTGGGATAGTGGGAAGTGTCCCTGCCCATGGCAGGGAATGGAATGAGATGATCTTGAAGGTTTCTTCCCACCCAAGCCTTTCTGGTATCCAATGAATTCTAATAACAATAAACCAAAGGCTCAAACAGGTGACATTTTTCGGGTCCCTTTATCATACCCTTTTCCCCTTGCAGCCGCCCTTGTCCATCCAGTCCATCGTGGTGCAGGTGCAGTGTGTGAACAAGAAGGTTGGCACCATCATCAACCACGAGGTGCGGATCGTGGTGCGGGACCGCAACGACAACTCGCCGCAGTTCCAGCAGCAGCGCTACTACGTGGCCGTCAATGAGGTCAGGGCTGCCTGATTTTCCTCCTTCCCCTGTGGGTGGGGTCACTGCTAAATTCCAGCTTTCAGTGCCTCTCCTTTGAAAACCAAAAAATACGGTTGTTTTCAAATCCCTAATATTTGTGCCGCTGTGGAAAAACCCATCTCTTTGGTAGGCTTCGGTTTTTAGTGTTTAATCCTGCTTTTCCTTAAGAAATAGAAAGACCAGCATATTTTTCACCTGGAGATTGCAGAATACACACAAATTTAAAGCAGAGTTCATGAATGAAGTGTTTTCTGTTAAATTAAAATACTTTTAACAACAAACCTGAAAGTAAAACAAACATATGTATGAAGAAAAGGAAATTAAAAACACTTTAAAAAGGTTTATTAACAATATTGAAGCTTGGTAAAGTGCAGATGTGGTTTATTGCTATTGCTCTGTATTAGATGATGCCTGTGAAATGAATTATTTTATTCTCTGTTATTTATTATGTTATGTTTTTTGGAATAGAGAGCTGTGGATTGGACCACTGTGTCATTTGAAGGAAAAAAAATATTTTCTTCTTTATCTGGTATAACTTCATTTCACTTTCCAGTGAAGTTTTTCATTGTGTTATGGACTGTATAATCTGCCAATAAGCAGTACAAAAAGTCTTGAGTTTTCAGATTAGCATCTCAGGGCTTTAGTAATGAGTAGAAACAGGGCCTTACATGAAGTAATGGAAATTATGTGGGCTGAAATTATATGGAAAATGGAAAGATGGGTCAGTTTGTACAGGTGAATACTGAAAGAAGTAGATTTACATTTAAAAAATAAATTATATTAAATAAGCAGCCTGGTAGGGTTTGGTTTGTGGGGTGGGGGGTCTGTGAAAGAGCATGATGGCTTTGATTGTAAAATATTTCATTTGAATAAATTTCCTATTTTGTTGTGTTTGGGGGATTCAGCTTTTCAGTGTGTCCTTGTGTTGTCTCTGGTCTCTATGACCACACATGTGAAGGACAGCTCATTGTCCTGGGAAAAGGGGAGACATTGATGAGTCGAGGCCTAATTAACCCAAAAGTGTGGAGGAACCCCCTCCATACATTATATTGGACCTGGAATTGAGAGAAGGATAAACAAGGTTTTTCAAACTTCCTGGTTTTAAATTAAAAAGCATTTCCCTTCAGACACGTTTTTGGCACTCCAGCAGCCCGTGTGACTTCCCACCAGAATCTGGGAGCAGCGTGAAAGTCCTGCATGGGCTTGTCCATGGTTTTTACATTGCTCTTCACGTGGCCATGGAGTTTCTGTTTCTACAGACCCAGTGCAGGAGCATTTCTGGTTCTGAGTAAAGGCAACACCAACATGACTCTGAAGTGCCTGTGTGAGTTGTGCTGCAGGGCCCAGATCACTTCCAAAACCTGCATCATTTTTGAAGTGAAACCAAAGACAGGGAGTATGGCTATTCTAAGAAAACAAGGATTTTCCAGAATTAGGGAGAAGTCCAAAAGGCAGAGTGCAAAATGCACCATTCCCAATTATTTGTGTTCAGAAATTGAACAATGTTCTGAGCATTTATTGGAATCATTGCTGGGCAAAATGCACTGTTGCTCTTTCCACCAGCTGCACCCTGATTTAATTAATTTATTATTTTCATTTTATCTCTGTTCCATGGGTAACATCTGACATGGCACCACTGTGTCCTTGAGCAGCACCCAGTGAGTTCATGCTCTCATTAATTAATTAACAAAAAAATAATTCACAAAGCATCTCAGACTCTCTCAAAGGTTTTAATGAGGGATTAAATGTTTTAATGCTCATTTATTCCACTCATAATTGGCACTGCCTCTGGTGAATTTAGCAACAGGAATGCACTGGGAGGAAAGGTTTGTGGTTAATTCTTTGCTTGTAAACCAAAAAGTACAGAAATTTCTCTTACATATAGAACATAAAACAACTCAAAGAAGGAGTAGATTTTATTATATTTTGGAGAAATTGAATGGTTTTTTTGTCAAGTTGTCTTTCTATCTGAACTGTCCCCAACATATTAAGATGAGTTTGTCAGAGAAGCTGAGGGTAGTTGTAAATAGCACCATAAATCCTGGTTTCACACTTGTTTTCCATTTGCACAGAAAAAGACATGTTTTAAAATTATGCCTGGATTTTTCCCGAAGGCATAGATTGAGATGGATGTGGCAGACTAGTGTATGTTTAGTTTTATACCAAAAGGAGTTTTGATTTTTATACTTGATGGAATCACTCTGTCCCGAGTTAGACCAAAAGCTCCCCTAATCCAGGGCATTTGTTTTGCCGGTGCCCTGGCAGATGCTCAAGGAAAAAGCACAAGGATAAGGAAAAGTTCAGTGATGCTTCCCTAATGAGTTACCTGTAAAATTCTGTGTGGAGCAGCTCCATACCAGTTTTGTCTTTCCCAGTTGATTGTGGACATGGATATGGTGGTCCATCCATTGCTTCCTTACTCCAGGTGTTTTGTAGCCTTTTTTCCCAGCATGTTTTGTCTTTATTTGCCATGATTCCTCACTCTACTGCTTCAAACATCTTCATCTGGACCCTCAGAACCCTGAAACAACTCAAGGCATAAAGAATGTCTGTGGAATATTCTGGGATTAGGGATTTTAAGTGTTTCCTTCCATCATTCTAACACTTGTACCTATAGAAGACCAATGGATAAAGGTGACCCGAAATGAAAATGTGCAGAGAAATTAATGTGAGTGGTTAGAAAACGTGGCTTTTGTAGCTGAGAATAAAAATCTTCATTACCTGTTTATTGAGGAATACTTTTTGTCAAGATTTTAATTCTTCTGTTAAAAGTATGGACTTGTCACATGGAGCTGGACTTGTCCTTGTCAGTATTGATGGAGGCTGGAATGTTTGTTGGATGAGGTAGCTTAGCTGGGAATGGCAGTGCTGGGATCTACATTAAGTTACAAATAAAATTGATTTTTTTAAAGTCTTGGTTGAAAACAGATTTTTCTGTTTCCCCACCGTTTTGGAGTCAGTTTTCCTTCTTCCTTCCTGATACTTTTACAAGTCCAAGTATCTCAGCCAACTCCAACTGATCTCCAAAGCATTAGGAATCTCCACATGGAAGTAAAAACAAGTGAAGGTTGATGTCACCATTTTTATGATAATGAGAAATCCTCTGCAGAGTTATTCCCTTTTTTTTTTTTTTTTTTTTTTTTTTGTGTGTGTGTGTGTGTGACATATTTTTATTTATATGAAAATATTCCATTGTTATTCAGTTAGGGGAAAATTCCTGGCAGTGACATTAGCCTGGGGTTAAATTTGACCGTATTGGTGGCTTGAAGGGTTATTACCATATTAAACCAAAGTTCTGCAGCTGAGTTAAAATTCAGAAGAATTATGCAGCGCAGTTAATATTCCACGGGCAAATCTATGGCATTGCCACAAGGGGTTTAAATTTATGGAGCCTAATACAGGGATTAGGAAGTAAAATCTTGTACTGCTGAGGCCCAGTGGTAGTGTCTGTGTTTCGTGTTAAACACAACTTATCTGGATCATTTTTATCTGAACTAAATACAGCTCTAATTGTGTATAGCTGGGGTTTTATAAAACTGACTTTCTTTGTTCTTAGTTTTTCACTTTTCTGAGTCCTACAGGGCAAGTCAGGAGCATTTAGTAGCAGGTTCTGTTTGGAAGTGGAGGTGGAGTCCCTAGAACACTGTTGAAGTCAGTATTTATTAAATGCATGTAACCTTAGAGTTGGTTGTAACCCAAAATTTTGGGGTTGGTTTGTTTATTTAGTTTGGAGCTTTGTTTTTCTCCTTTAATTTAGCAGAGATGGGAATCCTTAGCAAAGTAAGAACCTTTCTTGAACTTCAGTCATCCCAAACTTTGGGTTTGGGCTGTTGAGAATTAGAGCTTGTGCTGAATTTTCATTTCTTGTGGTGTAATTATTCCTGTCTTTTTCCTTGTGGTATCAAAATAATTAATCTGTGCAGGTAGATATCATCAAAAGAGCGTTAGCTCAGAATGATTAGCTGTAAATCTGGCTTGGCTTTGCTCTGCTCTTTGGGGCCACTCTGAAAACCTATTCATTTTTAACTTTATAAATAGTCAATAATAGGGAAATTTATTTTCCAAATGTTTTATGGAAGAGCTCCTGTCTGCATCTTGACTTCTAATAGCCATTAATCACACTGAAGGAAGTTTTTAAGCAGTACAGCTGTAGACTATGGAAGATTTATTGTGTGCATCTCCTCTTATTTGTTTAATTGCATTCTTTTTGGAATCTTCCTTGTTTCATGTCATCATGATACTTTTCCACTGGATTGAGTTCCCACAGCGATGATTATCCCCAGGCTGTTGGTGACGCTCCTGGAATTGTTTCTTTGCAATCCCTAATGTTTTGTTTTGGATAAGGTAAATCACTCAGCATGGTTAAGTCCTTTGATGCACAACTTCAGGCCCTTTCTCTTGGACATACCAAAGGTTCCTATGGAGAAACGAAATTCCACTTTTTCAGTGAAGGAATTTTTCCCAGTATCCAACCTGAGCCTCCCCTGGCACAGCTTGAGGCCGTTTCCCCTTGTCCTGTCCCTGTTCCCTGGCAGCAGAGCCCGACCCCCCCTGGCTGTCCCCTCCTGTCAGGGAGTTGTGCAGAGCCAGAAGGTTCCCCCTGAGCCTCCTTTTCTCCAGGCTAAAGTTGCATTTTATTAGGTAAACTGCGTTCCTCCTTGTTGTTCCAACAAAGAAGTGACAGCAGTCTCTCAGAAATCCCTCACAAATTGTGGGAAGATGTATTATGGCTGGCTAATGGCACATACTATAGTAAAAATCAGCACAATGCTGAGATCTCTGTGTAAGAAGTTTGTGAGGCTTGGAGTGCTGAGGGGCTCTCCCACATGACTGGAAGTGGATTTGCAGTACCAAGTTAAGAGGTCATCTGAATTTTTCTAAAGGCTGCAGGAATCTCTAATGTGAGGTCTTGAGCAGGCTGGAAATCACAGAATAATGGAATATCCTGAGCTGGGAGGGACCTGGGAGGATCATCCAGCCCTGTACAGATACCCCAACAATCCTACCTTGTGCATCCCTGAGAGCATTGTCCAAATGCTGCTGGAGTTCTGTCAGGAAGGAATGGAGAGGATTTTTTTTCCAGTGTTCTTTTCTAGTATCATTTGTGTTGCACGAAAGAAAACTTTGATAAAATGGAAACATGCATATCCTGAAGGTCTGCACATCTGCAATCAGTTATTGTGGGTGTAATACATCAAATGCAAGACTTTAGCTTTTGATTTTAACTGTTAGAGCATGGAATTGGAGTTCTGGTGTTTACTGATGTGTCATTTTTGCGACTGTCTCCTTTGTTATCACTTAATAATGCGCTTTATACTACTGGAGCCTTTTTCTATTGGCCACTATTTATCTGCACATGTCAGAACGGACTGGTGGGAGCTGTGCCAGCAGCTCCAGGGTGTCTGTCATCTCCCAGGCTGCTTGGATGTAACATCATTTTTACAATAGTTAATAGTATTAAATATAGGTAATTTTTTTTTTTTTTTTATAGAACACCTTTTGCAGTACAGTGGTCACTGCTGAGATCCCCAACAGTCGAAATATGTGGATCTGTTGGAATGAGTTCAGAGGAGGCCATGGAGGGGCTGGAGTCGCTCTGCTCTGGAGCCAGGCTGGGAGAGCAGGGGGTGTTCACCTGGAGAAAAGAAGGATCCAGGGAGAGCTCAGAGCCCCTTCCAGAGCCTAAAGGAGCCCCAGGAGAGTTGGAGAGGGACTGGGGACAAGGGATGGAGGGACAGGACACAGGGAATGACTTCACACTCAGACGGCAGAGATAGATGGGATTTTGGGAAGGAATTGTTCCCTGGGAGGGTGGGCAGGCCCTGGCACAGGGTGCCCAGAGAAGCTGTGGCTGCCCCTGGATCCACGGCCAGGTTGGTTGGGGCTTGGAGCAGCCTGGGATAGTGGAAGATGTCCCTGCCCATGGCAGGGATGGGGATTAGATGATCTTTAATGTCTCTTCCAACCCAAACCAGTATGGTATTCTACATGTCTGATGTCTCCAGAGCTGCTCCTCTCAGATCATCTGGGAGCACCAGGACTTGGTCCTGTTTGGACAGCAAAAACCTGGGAGATTTCCATCACGTGCCACCCCATGACCAGCCAGCATAGTGCCTGGCTCTTTCCACTAATGGGACCATTGTTTAAACTGGGATTAACTGGTTCAATTCTCTTGAGTTATGTCAGTGGGTGTCAGTGCCCTGGCACGGCCTGAGGGGTCTCTGTGAGGAGAGGTGAGAGCTGCCCTGGGCTGAGGCATCCACAGGTTCCAGCACTGGGCACATCCCAACCCTCAGCCAGCCCCAGGAAAAGTGGGTTAAGAGAGGGGAAAAACGCAGCAAGGAGTGAGGAAAAAATGGTGAGGAGGAGCTGGGTGTTAAGGGTTAGGGTTAGGGGGCTGGGATAGGGGACAGTACTGCTTTTTGTCCACCTGTCCCCATCCCAGTGTATTTTTTGCTGGATGTTAAATCAATGTTCCCCATTCCTTCTGTCCTGCCTGGTAGTGTGGGACAGAGGCCACCCAGGGATTGGGTACCTGGTCTCCCTCTTTTCCCTCAAAAACATTGGATTTTCTTCTCCTAAGCTTCTGAGGAGGCAGCAATGGGGTGCCTGAGTGGATGTCAAGGAGCAGCCCATCCCCATTGGTGGAAAAACCCCCTGCAAACACCTTGGAACTTTTCCCAGCTGGTTTTCAGGTTACTTCGGTCTTCTGTCCCCTTCTCTCCTGAACATCCCAACCCATGAGGGCACAGTCAACTTCCTACACTCACATGTGACACATCTGCTGCTTGTTCCAGGAGCAAATAAGACAAGTTAGAAGCAAAACATAAACATTAAGAGTTATGGTGTTATGGTGCATATTGGTGGTATTATAAATTAAACCCTACTTGTTTTCCCATAAAAAGGCCTCACATTGGTGGTTTTATTTCAAAGATTCAGTATTCTCAGCCCTGAAAATGTTTCCCAGGGAACTCTGCCAACCATTACCCCCTTAATTAGCAGCTTTATAAATAAAACAGGAACTATGGGCGCAGGAGGAAACGGGGAGTTAAGTCTTTGCTTTATTGTGAGCACTACAAAACAGAATGTGAAGTACCATCCACATCTGCACCAAATGCTGAAATGACTCTGTCTTTGCCCCCTGCTATTTTTCCAACATTTCAAACCTTTTTAGGTCCTCTGGATTTAAATAAATGCATCAACTTTGTGTAAGTTCTGGAGGAAATAAAAGGGGCCAGCGGGACTCCGGGAATTTAGGGGCCACAAATCTGGGGGTGATGAGAGCACCAGGGAGCAAGGGTGTTTGTTCATTTCTTCTTCACTTTCAGGTTGATTACTTGCAAAGTTTCCTGAATATTTAAATTCAGAAACGATGACTCCCAAGAAATCTTCTGTCTTTGCTCTCAATGGGCCTTGATTTGGTGCTATTTATCTGTGCAAGGATAATTATAAATTGATTCATTTTCAAAACATAATTTAATGGGTATTCAATTGCTGCCAACACAATATTGGAGCAACAGCATCACTCTTGTGTTTGCTCAAAGCCATGAAGCTCTATGGGTGTTTGTGTTTGCATGTAACAATATTAATCTGGCTCTGTTCACATTGCTATGAAGATGCTGTCAAATAAGTTGTGTTTACATTTGCAGCTCGTCCTTGTTTTCCTTCCTGAGTCTGAAAAATGAGCTTTTATTGGGATTAATCTATATTTATTTCATGGGTTCTTTCAGGTTTAAAGAGTGTTTTTCTCATCTTTGTCATTTTTTTGAAAAAATGCAGTTCTGTCTTGATACATAAGAGACCAGAGTTAGGGGGAAAAATAAGGTTGAAACTAACTTTAAAACTTAAATGTTTTAATGGGGATTTCTTGCTGTTCTTGCAGTTAACTCCAGTTGGAACAACCATCTTCACAGGATTTTCTGGAAACAATGGTGCTATTGACATTGATGATGGTCCCAATGGCCAGATAGAATATGTCATCCAGTACAATCCTAATGACAAGGTACAGCCATTCAGGCTTTTTTCCTCCATGTATATATATACATATATATATATATATATATATATAAAATAGGATAAGCTTTAAGATCTCTTCCAACCCAAACCATTCTCGGATTCCATGATTTCTGTTTTGCCTCAGTATAAATCTCCTAACTGATTTTTCCCATCTTGGTGGGAGTGATGAATATTTTACCCCAAGAGATGAGTGCCAAACTCAGACTATCTCCAGTTATTCATCAGTCTGGGACGCACTTCCCAATCCTGTTTTCCTGCCCACCACAGATACCTGCAGCATGGGGAATTAACACTCATTCTCATTTATTTGCTGGAAAACAAACTGCAATTTTAGCAGTTATTTATTTTCCTTTTCTTAGGGGAAAAGGGCCTCGTAATGTGATGTGAAGAAACAATGTTCCTATGTGTCTCTGCTGTGTTTGGAATCTTGTATTTCTGTTGCCTGTTCAAAATACTTAAATATTAACTATCTTTGACACTGGGAGTTTGAAGCATGGAAAGATGGGGTTTTTTAATTAGATTAATTTGACAATGAAATTGCAATTCAATCTCAGGCCAGAAATTTGTGCCCTCCTGCCAGTTGTTGCCCCAGCTTTGTCACCTGAGTCTGTGGAAGCAAATACACAGAACAAATTGAATTTCACCCAATTTAACATCTGCATTTACCCTGAAATGTGAATTTCTTCGGATAGAAACATATGCGTGAACTGGCACCTAAATGTTGATGTTCTCTGCTTATTTAGCACTTCATTGCCCTCATGAAAGGCAGAATAAAGAGCAGATAAGTACAATGATGTGGATTTCTTATCTCTACCGCTTGAGCATTTGTTCTTAATGCACCACTGCAAATTCAGGATGGCAAAGGAGAAAAAGCAGACTAGTCAGACTTTTGTGGTTGGAAGTAGCAATGGATAGGTAAAGAACCCAGGAGAATTGTGTTATGTACAGCTTCATTATTGTGGGGTTCTTCAGGAGGAAATTAGGTGGGGAGAAAACACAGAAAGCTTTATAATATCTGATCTGAAGAGCAGATGCAGCCTTGGAATACCAGCCAAGGGATCATCCTGTTGTGGCCCAGATACAACGCAGCTTAACTTTGAGACATGTTCAATTTTATTGTGTTGTTTTCTCATTTGCAGACTTCCAACAGGACCTTTGATATTCCTCTCACTTTGTCCGGAGCAGTAGTTCTGAGGGAAAGACTAAATTATGAAGAAAAGACTCGTTATTTTGTCATTGTTCAAGCAAATGTGAGTATAAATCTCTTGAAGGCCATTTCCCCTGATTTAGGTGCTGGTTTAGTTCCCTTCCCAAGGAAAGGCAGCGCCTTGCTGAAATACCAGCTCTGATAAATCCTCCTCTGCTGAAGATCTAATTTAAGATTTATCCAGGCTGTTGAAAGCTCAGGCATATTATTACTGCTTTAAAAAGCTTGTTCAGTGTGGTACAAGCCAACCTTTTTGGCACAAGGAGCAAGTTGCAAATGTGCAGTGCAGCCCATGCAGAAAAGTGCAGCCTCATTGCACTAAATGTCCCATTTTCCAACAAATATGGCAAGGCTGATTTTCACTCAGATGAGTTTAATGGACACAATTTCATTGTATTCTGCAGATTGGAAATGCATTTTGTTATAAAGAGATGATTTTTCCTTCAAGTCATGCTGCAAGTGTATGGAGAGGATTTTCCAGAGAGGCTGGCAGTGGATAACTCGCATGGAGGAGAAAGATGATGTATAAACTGTATCTCAGATATCTGTCATCAGAGTGGGTTTTTTGATGCCCTTGAGGGCTGTGAAAGCTTTTTTTTCCCCTTTTTGTCCTTCTGATAACAACTGAAATGAAAACTTCTCTGTTCACCGCTGTTGTGATACATCTTCGTTCATGGGAAATTATATTTGCTCTGAAGCAATAGGAGATCCTGAATCCCCACCTTCACTCTCCTGTCATCTCTCTGACACAGAAGTGCAGATACATTTTGCAGTCTCTTTTCTTACATATTTTGTGGCATGCTCAGCATTCTGCAAGCAGAAGCAGAGTCCAGAAGAGGCACCAGAATGATCAGAGGGCTGGAGCAGCTGAAAGGAAAGGCTGGGAGAGTTGGGATTGTTCAACCTGGAGAGATGAAGCTTCAGAGTGATCAAATTGTGGCCTTCCAGCACCTGAAGGAGCCAGCAAGAAGGATGGATAGAGATTTCTCCAAGGGATGGAGTGCCAGGACATTCCCCCGACTAGCATCAAACTGACAGAAAGCAGGATTAGATGGGCTATTAGAAGGAATTGTTCCCTGTGAGGGTGGGGAGGCCCTGGCACAGGGTGCCCAGAAAAGCTGCAGCTATGCCTGGATCCCTGGAAGTGTCCAAGGGACACCCAGGGCTGAGGGCCCCTCTCAGCTGGGGCTCCTCTCCAGCCTGAACAGCCCCAGCTCCCTCAGCCTTTCCTGGGCACCGAGATGCTCCAGGCCCTTCCTCAGCGCCGCAGCCTCCGCTGGCCCCGCTCCAGGAGCTCCCTGGCCCTGCTGTGCTGGGGATCCAGAGCTGGACACAGCACTCCAGAGGTGCCTGCAGGGCTGGCCACAGGGGCAGGATCCCTCCCTGGCCTGCTGCCCCCAGGATCCTATTGCTGGGAAAAGCCATAAACCACAGCCCATCCCTGCAAGTGTCCACAGCCAGGCTGGATGGGGCTTGGAGCCATCTGGATAGTAGAAAGTGTCCCTGTTCATTGCAGGCATGGCACTGATTAGCCTTTAAGGTCCCACCCAACCCAGACAATCTGGGATTCTATAACCCCACAGGCTGCATTGAATTCTCTCAGGTGTGTTCTTTGCAATCACATTCCTCTGATCACACTATCAGTGCTGTGTTGTCCTTGCATCCTGAAGATACTGCTGGAAATTAATTACTCTCTATCTGCTTTGATCCAGAATTACTCAGAGACACTTACTGGAGGAATGGAGAAGTGGTTTAGTTGATGATGAAAGCTGCTTCTTGTAGCTGGAATTGTTTTTCCTCATTGACCATGAAGAAAGCTGAATGCAGAAATTCTGATATTTACTCGAAATGTGAAGCTGGTACAAGAACTGACTGGATTTCAAAATAGAAAAATAAATATGTATCCAATTTAGAGCAATGGCCTCTTCATCTTACATAGATGATGTTATTAAACAGCATAAATTAAAAAATAAATTTAAAAATAGTTTGGTTTTTTTTCTTTCAGTGTTACATCTACCTTATATCCTATTAGGATAGATGGGTAAGATGTAATTCATGGCACATATTCCTCCCCAAGATTTTAGCTCTGCAAGGGAAAGATCATTCAGGAGTTCCTCTGTGAAAATGAGAATATTTTTGAGTATTGTAAACAAAATATAAGCTAGTCATGATGTTTCTTCACTAATGGAAGAAGACTTGTGTACTTTAGGTATAACCACAACAATTTTGGATTATAAGTAAGGCACAGGCCCTTTTTATCTTCTACAAACGGGCTGCATTATTATAGGTTTAGTCCTATGGTGGTCCCAAGCTGTATTACTTCTGAGGGCTAAATGTCTTGAAGTATTTCTTCACTTTTTCTCCTGATTTTTCTAGTGTGCCTTTCAGGCTGCAGCTCTGAGGTAGAAGTTCCGGTAATTACTCCTAGAACATGGATAATTCTGATGATTATATGTTTTATCCTTAGTCTTGCTTAAAACCTTTTGGGTGGCTCTTTTTAGGAGATTTTTTTCAGGACATTCTCAGTTCAGGAAGTTTCACCAGATGGACCTGGTTTGCTCCACAGGACCGAGCCCAAAACCTGAATGAGCGGAGGACAAGCACGACCACCCTGACCGTGGATGTGCTCGATGGGGACGATTTGGGGCCAATGTTCCTGCCCTGTGTGCTGGTGAACAACACCCGCGACTGCAGACCCCTCACCTACCAAGCCAGCCTGCCCGAGCTGACGGATCCTGTAAGTCCTCTGTGATTTTTCCAGGTTTTATATGACTGCCTGTCATCTTTTCCTGTGGGCACACCTGGGAGCTGTAGCTAAAAGGTCATCTGTGCTTGATGCTGTGTTTTGTGTGTCAAGCAAGAGGAAACCAAGGTAAGATGCATGTAGGAATGATGGTAAAATTCCAGCTTGGATCCAATGCCAAACTGCCCATTGGCTGCAAGGCCTGAGTCTTGCAGAAATTTGATAAATTTTGGAATTGCTTTTCCTGATCTGACCATGTTTCCCTCTCAAAATATCCCCAAGAAGCACTGTTGGAGGGGACTTGATGTCATTCCATTGAGGGTTGTTATAAACCGTAGGAGAATGATTTTGGGGAAGAGGAAGTCACTGACCTCTGAAAGGATTTTTATTGCTATTATCAGGTCTTGATCAAGAGGTACTGAAGAGCAGTGGGGGTTTATCCCATGTAGATCCTTGTGCTAAATCTGTCAGTTTGTCCATCCATTATGTTGGGTTAAAGGTGAGTGTAAGACTCATTTCACACTCCATGCATACATGAATCCCAAAATGAGATGAGAACTTTATCATTTCTTGTTGCAACTTGGTGCCAATTGCCATTCCTTGCAGCAGAGCTGCTGCTTGGAGGTCTGCACCTCTGGTGGGTGGAACAGAAACAGGGATTGCTGAATTAATATTGATATGTGCCCTTTGATTCATATATTTAAGAATAAAAAGGCAGAACCAATCGAATCACCAGGTATTGCCCCACCTGATTAACTCTGACATTAAGATGACATTAAAATAATGTTAAGCTTTGACATTAAGGTTTTAACTTTGGTTGCTCATCACAGCACACTCTGCATCGTGCTGCCTCCAGCCAAGAGTAGGTTGAGATTGGAAGTGTGGAGGTTACTGCTCTTCCCTGTCTTATCTCCCTTCCTGTCCTGTGCCTCACACTCTTCCTGTCCCACACATTTTGGTGTGGCCTCAGGACTGCTGCAGCAATTATCCTTGGGATGGGTCAAGGGAAGGGAGAGATGATCCATATTTAATCTTGGAGTATTGATTTCCACATCTTCCCCACGCACACTTCTGTGCCTTGATGTACTTAAAAACCCTTTGTAGCTGTGTTGTGTTTGGGACTTGGTGAAAAACTTCTTTGACTTTAAATTCTACTTTAATTTGCTTTGGGCTTGGTGGCATTTTAAGGAAAGGGGCAGCTCCCCTGGGTGTGGGGCATCCTCAGGGAGAGCACTCAGACAATGAAGGAGGAGGGACTGTGACCTCATTTCACCTGCACAGATCCGTTATAATTCCCAGTGTGGGAGCAGATGAGGCAGGAATTATAAATAACTGGTGTTTTTATGTTTTTTTTTGTCTGGTTACCTGAAGGTATAACACAAACCATACCATTTTTGTGGTGCTGCCTCTCAGTCAGAGGATTCCAGCTCCAGCTCTGCTCCTGCCCTTGGCCAGACATGTTCCCCACTGGAAAACAAAGCAGTGTCTGCCGGGGAGAGGGGTTGTGCCAGGAAAAATCTGACCTGGGATTTAGGTACTGAGCTGCAAAACTCATTTATTTAAACTTCCTGAGCTGCAGCGTGCTCAGGGGCAGTGGCTTTTGTTTGTTTTTTAGCTTTTCTTGTGTCAAACTGCTCCTGATCTATGAAATGAGACCTGGGTTCTGTTGATGAACCATGAACTCTTTGCTGTTTATCTCTTTGCAGCACTTTTGCTAAACCTAAGTGGAAGAAGTTATACCTTGAACCTCAAATATTTACTTGGCTTTTAAGGGATAATTCCTTTGGAAGATATGGATGATACCTGGATTCAACTAGGAAACATTTATATTAGATTTATCTGTCACATTTTTATGTATTATATTTATTCTTTACTAGGCTACTACATAGCTACCACTACCCTACTCCCTAAGCTAAAGGACTATTTTTAGTTTTACACCATTTTTTTTTTAAATTTGCTTTGTAATTTTTTAATGAAGATGGGAAGGAATATTAATGAATGAGGAACAAAGTTGAAGTATGAATTATTCAGAGGCAGTAGCTGGAAAGAGAAGTCCTGCTTTACTGGGCAAGATGTCCACTCAGCTGACCCCTAAAATAAAGCATTTAATGTCACTGGTAAGAGTAATATTTTTGTCCAGTATAGTTGGAATCTATCCATGAATTTACTGAGGTAAAAAGTTGGGAATTAATTTCTTGCTATTAGCTGAATTTCAATTTCCGAGAAAACCTGTGTTGGTTGTTGATTAGGTTTGGGGATTTTTGTTGTCATTGTTACATTGCTTTATATTTATATTATATTTTAGTGATTCTGTATCCGATCGGCTCTGGTAATTAACTTTTTCCCCCTCTTGTGTCAGGAAGACTTGAATAAATTAGCATTTATTATCAGGATGTGCAAGTATCACATGGAGTTAAGAAGTACAACCTCGTGAATATCTCATAACATGGGCAAAATAATTTCTCCTCCTTTTTTCCACCTTCAGTCCATTCCTGTTGCACTCACATTGTGAAGGTTTCCTCCACTTCTATACTCAGTGTTTTCCATAGTCATGCAAAGAAGAAAAGCCTGTAAAGCAGCAAATACAGATTGGATTTATTGAATTAATTGCTGGACTAGATTTGCAATCATGGGATTTATTATGGGGTTCCCCGGGGTTATTATGGTGTTCCATGGGTAATTGTGAGCCCACATGGGCACTAAGACACTCCACGACACCAAGGATTTTGGATTAAATCCAGATTCGACCTCACTCTTCTACAAGTTCCTTGTTCTTGCACCTCTGATGGATCCTCCTGCATGGGAAAGGGTTTAGGTTTGTACTGATTATCCCCAGAATCCTCAGGAATTGTGTCAGCAGGAGCCTCATAGGGTCTATGGGTTCGGGTGCCCTCATGGAGCTGGGCCTGAGCAGAGCACGGAGAGATGAAAGGCTAAAAATAATAAATAAAATATTCTCAAACAACTGTGAAGTTGAGAGGGATAAAAAAAGACAGTGGAGAGCAGGAAGTGCCCCTGTAAGACCTCAAGTCTTTATTAGTGAGAAGGACCTCTTCAGTTCCATCTGTTTGCACTCAGGAGAGAAATCTGCATTTTTCTGAGGAAGTGTTGTAATCCCTCTGAGGGAGCTGGGGCTGGGAACGCAGGACACTTTCAGAGTATCAAGGGTTAAACAGGTCTGGAAAAATCAATTTTATGCTACTTATTGGTAATTAATTAGCAGTGTTTAGGATGTGCTGGTTTTGGACTTTATGATCTCAAAAGGCTCTCCAACCTAATTAATTCTGTGATTAATTCTGGTTTTGGGTACTACTGGTCTTGAGGATGACAAGCACCTGACAGTTCTTTCCAACTGATATCCCTTGAAGTTCCTTCCTTTGGCCCTGCAAATCACAATTCCTCTCAAACACAAAACCTCCTGGAATTTTCTCCCAGGGACACATTAATATAAAACTTGCAGCAGCACAAGTGAAAATTCTGAAAACAGCATCTCCCCGTTTTGGTTATACTAATCAAAGAGAAAAAAATCATCAAAATAGTCTGCATTTCCTCCAGTGGTCATTTAATTAATTAATTTATTGATTAATTGCCTTATTTTGCTGTGGGAAGTACCAGTACAAAGGACATTTGATCCAGGGATCTACCATGGAATGAACACCAAGTAACCACCTCTGAAGTGGAAGAGATTTGCTGGTTCACCTGGAGCACCCACCCAGCTGCCAAGAAAGATTTTTGGGGCACTGAAAGACACAGCCTACAGATTTTGGCCTGTTAGGCTGAGCTGAAGTGGATATGTGTGGTTAAATCCACTTTAATAGAAGCTTTCAGCAGATGAGGAATGCCTCTCTTACCTATGTGAGTGGCAAAATCCCAGAGAATAACTGGTTTTTTTTCTTGCTGAGTTTTAAACTTGATTGCTTTAAGACAGTTCACAAGGAGGGAATCACCCCTAATAACAATCAAACTGCATAAAACGAAGAAATCGTCTTCAGTTGCCACTTTTTCTTGTCATTTTTTTGTGTTTGTTTGTTAGATATGGGACATTTTAAACTGCAAATTTTCACAGTTAATTTAGAGAGCTGGTGGTCTCTAGAGCAGTTCAATCTCAATCTGCCTTTATTTTCTTTGCCTTATTTGTACTAACATTTGGCTTTTTAAATTCAAACATGATAAAAGAGCTTTGCCAGCTTTGGTTTGTTGAGACTTACTGGCAGCGATTGGCAAAGAGGCAGGACCTCAGCTTGATGCAAGCATGAAGCCAGTTTATTGATTTCACAGATCAGTATATATATATTTATATACCTTTCCAGCTATAGCTAAAAGCAGCACAACCAAAACATTTATGTAACTAAAGTAACATTGCTTAATCATAGCTTTGCACAGACGTGTAGAGGCACCCACAGTCTTGCATGATTTCTCTCAAACAAGGCATACTCAGGGCACTGTTATCTTTTGAATTCCTTCTTCAGGGTTCTGCTTTCTTTTGCCGAGGCTTATGGTCCATTGTGCTTAACACATCCGTGTTTGTCACAAGCTGAGCAGTGCTTTGAGTCCTGCTCTCTAGCTGTATTCCCATAATTTACGAACTGTGTTTGTGATTCAGTGGCATCAAGCCTCAGGAAATTATTTGGGATTTAATTTGTTTCTAATTATTCCTTTCCCAGCTGAATGGGCTCTGTCCAGTTTTTTGGGACTTCTGCTAAATGCTCTTGTAGGGGTTGGTATTTACGCTTCCTGCTGGAATTAGCCCATGATTGACTACAGTTGTGTCTGCTGGCAAAACTAAATGTTAAAAGTCTGCCTTCCAGAGAAAACAGAGTTTTCATCATTAAGAGAATTGTTTCTCTTCATACAAATCATTTTGGGTAAGAAAAAAAGTGATTTTATATTTTGAATAGGCAGTATCCAGCCCTTGCTGTTAATTAGACTAAAATCTTTGGTGCAAGATAATTAGTGCTGGGTTGAGATGAATGGGAGTTCCTGGGTACTTTAAT